CTAGCAATTAAGAAAAACTCTGAAGGCACATATCTTGGATCCCAGTCCTGTCTCTATTAGCTATGCTCTCTTGGGCAAGTTACTTCTCTGTGACTCAGTTTCTTTGGTTGAGGGTGGTAACAGTACCACCCTCATGTGGTTGGTGTGGGGATTAAATGATTTATTACACTTCTAACGCAGCAATTAAAGCATGCGGCTGAACTCTCATTAACCATTAGTTATTTCTACCAAAAATTTCACACGCTTAACTCCTTGGATTTTGAGCTCTCCTGATGCTCTCCTCCAGCGTTCCTCCTCGTCTGAAATCTTCTCCACAAAGTCGACGCTTGCATTTTCAAGGAACTCAAATGGCTTATTTTCACGGAGTTTCGACAAATAGATGTGACATACACATAACACACACACCACCTCACACCGAAGGTACGTGGAAACAGCACAATGGAAGAGTCTGGGGGAGCTGGCGACTCAGGGGTGACGAGTTGCTAAGAAAGAGCCTTCGTTCTGAGGAAGACGGCAGAGGCCGGGTAGTTAAGGACACACACACACACACACACACACACACACACACACGCCGCAGGCACAGGTGAGAACTGCCTCCCTCCCTGGGGCGGGCGCCATCGCGGCGTCGAACTGGACCGGTCGCAGCCCGCCAGGCCCAGGTGGGCTTGAGGGTGACCGAAAGGCACACGCAACCGGAACTGAACTCAAGTTTGCGCTTTTCCGCAGCAATCCTAAAGACAAAGGGACTTCTTATCTAGGTCACTTTTTTGGTTTGTTGCCCTCTTCCTCCCGGCCCCCAGCTTTGTTCCCAATTTCCCCCAGCGTTGGCTCGACGGCGCCCCGCACGTCGCCCGTTCGTCTGGCAGCCAACCCGTTCCCCTTTGTCGTCCACCGCTCCTCCTAGAGAGGGGTGGGCTGGCCGCCGACCTCGGGCAGGGAGGAGGAATAAGGGGATGAGGAGGCGCAGATTCCCCCCCCCCACCGCTGGCACCGAAGAACGATCCCCGCGAGCCGCCCGCCCACTGTGGCCAGACAGCCCCTAGTCCCCCGGGCCGGGGCCTGGGATGGAGGCGGGGCGCTGCCTGCGCCTTCTGATTGGCTGCGGGCGTCGGGGCGCCGCTCCGCGATTGGGCCGCGGGGCTGTCTGGCGCGAGGGCGCGCGAGGTGGGGAGGGGGCGGTTGGAAGCTGCTGGAAGTCAGGGGGCGGGGCGGGCGCGGGCGGGGACGCGGGACGCGGGGACGCGGGGGCGCGGTGGGGGCGTGGGGGCGCGGAAGGAGGGCCGAGCGGGTCACCGCCCCCGGCCCCTCCCCGGCCCCGCCCCGCGCGCTCCGACCGCGGGCGGCCAGGGGGCAGGCGCGCCGGTCGCTTCCCCGTCCTCGGCGTCGCCCGGCTCAGTCGCGGGCGAGCGGCGCGGGCGGCCGGAGCGCCAGGCAGGCCATGGCCACCACCAGCACCACGGGCTCCACCCTGCTGCAGCCCCTCAGCAACGCCGTGCAGCTGCCCATCGACCAGGTACCCGAGGCGGCCCCGCTGGCACCGCGCCCTCGCCGCCCGCTCCGCGGCCGTGTGCCATCCGCGCGGAAGCCGGGACCCGGGACCCGGGGCGCGGGCTGGGGCGGGGGCGAAGGGAGGAGGCGACCCGCTTGTTATTGTCCGCTCACTGCCTGGCGCCCGCTGTCCCCCCGCCCCCAGCTGCCCACCCAGCCCCCACCCCGCCCGGGCAGCCCGCGGGGGCTCCGGGCACCGACGTGCGCGCGTGCATGCTTGGCCCTGCTCCCTGCCACAGCAGCGCCCGGCCCGGGGCGTGCGTGCACCGCGTAGTCGGCGATCGGAGTCCCGAAGCCGCTTCCAGTGCGTGTGGGCACGGGTGTAGACAGTGCGTGGAAAGGCTGTGCTTTGGGGGAGCTGGGGTGTCTGTGCCCTGCGCGCGTGGCACCCGATACTCCACGGGGAAAGGATGGACGTGCCTAGGTGGACGCTGCGCTGGACACGACGTGTGTGGCGTGGAGGAGGCCAGCTCCGGGGTCGGCGACCGGCTCTTTGGGACAGTTTGCGTGGAAGTGCGGCGTATTCAAGAGAGAGAGGCAACAGTTTGGGGCAAGGCAGGCAGGGGTTAGGAAGAAAAGGCAAACTGAGTTAATGATCCCAGGGTGTCTAGCGGAGAAAGTGGCAACCTTGTAGATGGAAACACCTCTTCCCCCGCCGCCCCCCCCCAAAAAAAAGCATTTGACACAGTGTAGGGAAGAGTGACATCTAATTCCTCACTTTGAGTTTGCATGAAGGGCCTAAGGGTTACTGAGATATAAACAGGATTGTGTGGGAAAAGCAGCGCCATTTTTATTCAGAAAAGAAAGTTTGGGAGTATTTGTCAGAGTGACATTTAGGGTAGTTGGTGGGGCAGAGATAATTGCTTTAGCCCCAGGCTAGAGGTAGTTCACTGAAAATTTTGCTTAAAATTATTTCAAGTGGACTTGATCTAGAAGTGTTTGCACTTTCCAAGGGATCCGGGTTCACTGTCCGCCCGAATGTGTTGCTGTCATTGATGGCATCAGGGATTTCATTTATAATACTGGATTCCTCTGTGTCCAGACTCCGTTTCATAGCAGCAAGACGGGAAACGACCCCTGTGTCTAACGTTATGACACTAAGTGCTTTGTGCTTCAGTGTTTTAAAAAGTTAAATAGAAGTATGTTCAATGAGTATAAAAAAATTCTACCTCTGTTCAGATCTGAATTCCTTACTTATAGTTCAGTAATAGCTGTTGGTTCTTAGTAAATACCTATCCCCCATACATCTTGAACTACAGTTATAATGTGAATCTTGCTAATAGATTCAAGTGCCACTAGTGAAATTAATCGCATACTATAAGAAAGTAGTCTTCTCTGTTTATTAGTAAACTGATCAGAACTTACGGTTTTTCGTCTTCTCAGCCCTGTGGAGAATTCTCACTTTTCTGAAGTGAAGCACAGTGTATGGCCTTTTAGTGTATTACAACTCTCCTTGACTTAAGTAGGTTGCTGCCAAGGTATCAGCAAATGCAGGGTAGGTATCTGTTTAAAAATTGTTTTGCCAATGAGAGCAAGAGAGATAGGCCTATAGCTTTTCACTTATCTTAGGGAACACGATTATGCTCTCTTTCTCCCTCTTCCTCTCTGTTTCATTTTCTCTCTCCCTATCACGATGAAATATTTTCTCTACTGCGCTCATGGCTTCTAATTTATATAATGCCTGTGACTTTAAAAGTGATTTAATATAATAAACTCATTTAAAAATCTCAGCAATCCGGAGCAGGTTCTTTTTAGTGCTGACATAAGCAGGAGAATCAAGGGAAGGGGACAGGACTTAAAATTTTGACTTTCCTCCTTTATTATCTACAGGTTTTGATTTGGTACCTTGGACACCTTTGTTCTCTTGAGACCATTCTGAATTTGCATAGCCACTTGTATTTTGGGTTGTTTTCTCTTAGCAAGTCTTAAGAATATTGGATTAATACCACACAAGCCTTAACTTTTTATGGTAATAATAAACTGTTTCTCTGAAGCACTGAAGAATTGACTTTTTTGCTGATAAAGCACTTGGAATAACTGAAAAATCATTTAGTAAAATTGGATGAAAAAGTAGTCACTGAGCCAGTATTTTGAAGTTGAGCAAAATAGAAATTAATTTTGGTTACATGTAAATAACTGGGTCCCAGTTGAGAGAAAGCCTAAGAATTAGTTGTAATCAAATAGTGTGATTCAACAGGAAAAAGACAAATCAGGAGATGAAAAGTGTGAAAATATAACTTTTTAGTGTGTTAATTTGGTATACACTAATTAACAGTGTTTTGAAAATTTAGGAAATTATAAAAGCAGTTATTTGATGTCAGAGGAAGAAAAGGACCTTAGAGCCAGAAAATAGTTAAACTTTTTTACTAGAGTGAGTGTGGAAGTTACGAAATGATAGAAAGTACTGGTATGTATGGAATAGAAGAATGCAGGTTGCAGGGTCAGGTAGGAGAGAAAGGAGGAAATATGTTGCAGTAAAGACCAGGCAAGGAACAGGGACAAAAGATCTTGCCTGCCTTAGGCTCCTGGATTCTTTCATCTTTTCTGAGAATTACAGAGTGACCTTGAGGTAACCGTAGTATTTGTTCAGTAGGTCTTACATTTAAATAAAAATATAAAATCTGGTATTGAGTGAGGTTCCATGATGCTTTAAGATGGGAAATATTTAGCATCTGATGTTTCCCCTTTCTAGGCCTTGCATTCCAGGCGACTTTATTTCTAGGATGGTTAGTTATCATTAAAGGAATATCTGTGGGGATTTGGACTGAGGGAGAGACAAGGGCCAAACGTGCTATCGAGAAGACATCAGATGTCATTGAACAGAACCGTATTCTTTATTAGTTGGCTATGTGGTGAATTTTTTAAAAACCCCAACATGAATACCAAACAAGGGAGAATAATTGTGTCCAGATCAACCTATTTTTTTAAGAGGTTTTTTGTTTTTGTTTTTTAACCTGAACATATATGTTCTATTGCATTTGACTTACCTCCCTTCTGAGTTATCAGACTGAGGGGCTCTCTAGCCCTCTCCTTCCTCCCTCTCTTTACCCTTCCTTTCCTTTCCTGTCAAACCATTTTTCTTTCCTTATTTCCCTTGACGCTGTAATTACTATGAAATTGGAGTAAGATTCCCTGGTGACGCGATGTCCAGGATGGCATACTTGGCCGACAGCCAGTGAGGGATGAGACTGACCTCATCGAACAGTCCTGTTTGGGGACAGGGTCCTTGTTTTAGAGATAACGTGCTGAACTTTTTGGGGTGGGGAGAGGGGGCAAGAGGGAGACTTGAGATACTTGGAAAGGTTTGGAGGGGGGAGGAAGAAGGACCAGCTGTTGTAACCAATCCTGCCAAGTCAGGTAATAATTATCACGGGTCACATCTTACAGTTTTCAAATCTCTTTCACATGCGTTATATTATTTTCCTGCGTCCTCACAACACCTTATGAAGTCAGATAAAATTCAAGTCCTGAAGTGTTTTAGCTTCAGGTACGTATGTACATATGGTATTAAGCATTTGAGTAAAAGATCCATTTTAATTTCTATTCTGAACACGTGGCAAATCATTTTGACAGATCCGTGTTTTAGCTGCAGGTTGCCAGTGTATTTTTGGAGGACAGGGTGGAGAGGAAGAGCTTTCCCAACACTGAAGTGCTGGTGGTGATGGCTGGAGTGGGGAAAGCCATGTGCGTACAGAGGGAGAATCCTCGTTTCCTGCTTTTTGGTCATTTCGTTGATTGATGGGTTGCTGTATATTCTCCCCCGCCCCATGCCATGTGGACAACCAATGAAGTGAAATCATATATTAGGGAAAAGAATAGTTTAGAACATTAACTGCTTTAATCCTCTTACAATTCTGTGTTGTGATGAACCCCGTTGTATAGATGAAGAAATAAATGACGTTCTCAGTTTTGAGCCTTTTGAAGATAGTGACTTTTAGGAGCAGAAGGTGAATGGCAACCAAACAAGAAAATCAAAGGTGTGTTTTGTTTTAAAGTTGCCATTTGAATGCTTTAGGTTTTGGACACAAATATCTAACTCATTTGTCGCACCTGTCTACTTTTACAGCCGTAATGAGCCTCGGCCTTCATACTGAGAGCCCTGCCATACTGAGGCAATCTGCTGTGGAAGATTCCTTTTCATCAGGAAGGCATATGGGCCTGAGAATCTTGAATCTGTATTTTGGGCCCTGTCAGTTAACTAATTTTAGAAATGTCACTTTACATAAATGAGTTTCCCCCTGTGTAAAATGTGTGTTGCACTTAGTTTTAAAATTCCATGATTCTGCGTTTGTTTCATCAAGCTGCCTCAAATTCTTTTTGGACTGAGTTGGAGGGAATATAAATATGAACTCAGGGGAGGAAAAGGGGCTAATAAATTTCGAAGTTGAAACTGCCTCTGTGGGTAATCTGAGGCAGTGAGGCAAAGGACCGCGTGCCCTAAACTGTAGTCCATGTCGGTTTCCCTGTGTCTATTTCCCTTAATCCGTAGGAAGTAGTCATGCTGTGGTGATGACTGGCTTGGAACCAGATTCTGCCAGCCTTGTGCTCATTGGCAAATTACTGTATATTTCTTTAAGGCCCAGTTTCCTCACCTATAAAATAAAGATAATAAATAGTAGCTATTTGTAGATTATTGTGGAGATTAAAATACATAATCTGTGTAAAGTACCTGGCTCCTAGTACACATCTGTTGCACGTTCCTTTCTTCTTTACAAATTATGAAATATTTGGAACTTGTCTTCTATTTTTCTTTTGGGAAGTTAACATCTGTTCACATATATTCCATTTTAAATCTCTAGGACTTCCTTTTTAGGAAGGGAGATATCAGGCTCAGGTTCAGTCCTACTCCCCACACAGTGATTAAAGTAGGATTAAAATCTCGTTTTGAATTTGGAGTCAAAAGTGGTTTTTCTGCTTCCTCACTGTTCAAGAGTTCTTTGTCCCCTGCTTTAAAAGTGCTTCCTGTGTTATTACTGCCTCGATAGGTACAAATAACCCTAGTCTCTGTTTACTGTGGCCCATCAGGGCTGACTTTCCAGGGAAATAATCAAGACAGCTCACACACAGCTTTTGCCTGCAGTCGATTTAACAGGTGGGAGTCTAGGATGATAGAACTTGGCAAGACTTCTTTAAAATAAAACAACCTGTAAACAGGGCCCCCAGCAGAGCAATCATTTAATGATTTTACAAATGACGTGGGTCCTGCTTTGGTAAACGTGTAGGGTTTGGAAAAGGGGAGGGATAGCTGATGTGTGGAAAGATAGAATTCGGATTCAGGAGATCTGAATAGGCAGCAATGATGTGCCCCCCTCCTTTGCCTATCAGAAGCCTCACTGTTCTTCCAAGCCCGCATCCAGTGCACCTTGCAGATGAATCTTTTCCTGAATCCCATCCGATGTGACTGCTGTTGTATTTGAACCACAGTAACATTTTGGATTTGGCACTGTGCTGGCATTTACACTCTGCTTAATGTTGTATGTATCTGGCAGGGTTCTGGTAGGAGACAGATTGAACTAGGTAACCAAGGAGACTTTAAGAACCATTTACTAAGATATGGGCAGGTTTAGGGAAATCGGCAAGGAATAGGGTGGTCTCCCAGGACCAGTTCCTCTAGGCCTGGAGGGGCCAGAGGAAGGAAGGGCAGAGCCCTAAGGGGGTCAGAACCCCACGAGGGGAGCTGTAGGGGCTCCTGTCAGGAGCAGCTGTGGCCCCCAACGAGGGACCCATCCAGCCTGCGGTGGCCTTGAGGGAGGGGGTGAGGGGAGATGAATACCCCACTCCCTCCCATCCTCTCTTTCCTGTTGGTGCCTCCTTCAGAGGGCAAGTTGATACTTTGGGGGCGCAGAGGAAAGTGGAGAGTGGGTCTGGAGGCCATGGAAATCCTGTGCAGGACGTTGTGATTACTGACATGTCCTTTACAGTGTTACTCATCTCTCTACGTGATGAACACAAATAAAACACCTTTTGTCAGGCCCTTAAGGCACATCCTTATTCTGTCTCTTTCTTCTCAGTCACACGTTTTGAAAGAACAGTTGCATCTTGCTAATCTCTGCTCACTCTTACACCATTATAATCAGGCTTCTGCCTGCAACACCGATAGCCACATCCAGCGCAAACTGTGTAACACTGATTAGTTACTTCTCGCTTAAACCTATTCCCAGCTTCCCTGCTGCCCTTTGCAGTGCTTTTTCAAGTGTGGCTGTGAGACCACTTGTATCAAAAATCATGTGGGATTGTTGTTATATATTCCCAGGCTCTACCCAGAGCTACCCAGTGAGGGCCAGGGAACCTACATTTTTAAGCAGGCTCATTCTTACCCACCTTCTCCTACCATCAGAGGTAGAGAGCTACCTGGCCACATTTTTTTTAAGGTTCTCCATATTACTAAAAGGTTATCAAAGTGTGATGCATTTTTTAAATGTTTGCGTTTAACCGATTGACTTGTAATCTCCAAAAGGTCATGCAGTGTAATTGTGCTGTTGACAATATAGTCACAATATACGGGAAGAATAAAATTCGTAAGTGCACACTAGGCGGTGCGGCCCCCAGTTTTCAGCTGAATGATGTCCATGCCCCTTTCCAGTCCTGTCATTGGATCTCCAGTGACTGCCTGTGTAACCTCATGTGTAGAAAATGTCAGAAGTCTAACTTTGGGGTCCTTCTGGGGTGAGAGGCCTGCCCTGTGAGAGGCCCTGCCCCACGCATTCTCAGGCCTGCTTTATCTCTGGGAACCCCTGGCCCACAGGAGAGGCCTAGAACCTCCCGAATATGGCTGCCAGCTCCTTTTCTGTTACTCGGGCCCTGCCCCTACTTTGGCCACCCCTCACACACCCACACTCTCTCCCCACAGGAGCGGGAAATTGCCAGAAGCCCCCATGCACGTGGCAGTGGCTGGGCTGGAAGTGCAGTCCTGGTCTGCTGCCCGAAGGACCTGCAGAACCAGTTAAGTTCCCCCAATACGTTTCCATATCTTTTAACTCCATGCCTTTGATCAAACTATTTCCTCTGCCTGGAACCCCCTCCACACTCCTTTGGGTCGGCAAACCCATATTTTGCAATACTCTGCTAAAGCTTATGCCTCCTGGATGAAGCTTTTAAAGATCTGCCCCGTCCTTTCCAGTGGCGCGTCACTCCCCATGGGGCCACTTGTGCGTGTCTAATGCAGGCACAAGCGGTAGGTAAGTACATGCTGCTGTCTGAGGCTGTGGGCATCCCCGGCGGAGCCCCTTCGAGGAGCTGTTCCTCGAACCTCTGCCACGGTTCTGCAGTGAGGCTGGCGCTGCAGAAGCAGCTCGAAGAGAAGATAGGCAGGTAGCCGTCCTGCTCAACCTCTGTCCTTCGCTCTGGGCTCCCCCAGCCTCTCCTGTGTCTTCCAAGCAAAAGCCCAGCATCGCCTCGGTCTGGCTTTTTCAGGAGGTGGGTAAGGGGCACACGTTGGGGGGTCTTTGCCCCTTTCCACAGTTGCCTGTCAAGGGTGTGTATCCTCCTCGCTCTTGGAAGTGGCGGTCCGAGAACCCCTGCTGATTGGCGGTGATTTGGCCGCCTTTGCCCTTGTCAGTCGGGGCCTCGGGGGAGTTGCCTCGGCTTTCCCTGCTCTGATGGCACCTGCAGCACTTCATTTCTTTTGCTTACTTCGCGCGCCTCCCTGCCAGGGTGTAGACTCCTCAGGCACGGGGCCTCTTACTCAGGTTTGCCTCTCTCGCGCTCAGCACCGCCGGGCACGGAGGGCGTCCGGAGTGAGCGGCTCGCGTGGTGGGAGCTCAGACCAGCTAAAGTTCCGCTCATCACTGATTAGCGGGGTGGTCCAGGCGCTGACTACGCTTTCCTAAGCGGCAGGTTCCTGGTCTGTATCCCGGGGTGGGTGAGGGCCCCTCCCGCAGGGCTGAGGTTGGCATCAGGGGTCCTGCCGGCAGAGGGCCGAGCACACAGGGCTCAGTCTGTGCTGGGTGTCGCAGCTGCCGAGCTGCTTTTCCAGGGCTTGTGGAGGACACGGTGTGTACATCCCTCGGGTGCATCGGGGTGTGCAGTGCCCGCTTGCCGTGATGCATTTTGCAGGCATTGGAGTGTCCGGCGTGTGGGGACAGTGTGCTGGCCGTGCGGGATTCAGAGGAGAAGGTGGCTGCAGCTTAATGCGGTGGTTCTCACACTTTTCAAGGCAGCAGCTACCAGAGGAGTTGGCCGGGCGGCCAGGCGGAGGCTCCCGGCTGGGGTGGTACCCGTGCCCAGCTTCTGAGCAGCCCTGCGCCAGGGGCTCTCAGGGATCCTTTTCCCGGGGACACTTCACTTTTCCAGCGTCTTTCGTTGACACCCACACCCTCCCCGGCTGGAAGGCTGGTCGTGGGGTCAGGACAGCAGTGGCGTCCCCTCCCTGGATGGGGTGCTGCCTTGTCTCTGCAGCTCCTTCGGCTCCCCAGCTGGCCGAGCTCCGCAGATCGGGGTCAGGTCACCGTGACTCGGTCCCTCCGTGTGGGCACTGCTGTGCTTCCTCCTAGCTGCACAGCCGCGGGAGTTACGGGGTGCCTCTGATGTGAGTGTTTACGTAAAGGGCCGCACAGCACATCTCTGTGGGTTAGGAGAAGCTGTGTAAACCTTTCTGGCTGACTTTTATTTTCCTCAGGAGGGTTACTTAAAAGGAGATGTGCAAAGCATTGAAGAATTTTGGAGGAATGTGACTGAGGATTCAAAGGAAAATGAAGATAACTGTGAGAGGTACCAGTTATCCCCAGCTAGACGATTACACTGTCATTACACTGTTGGGTGATAAGGGGTGACTGGAAAGAGAAGCTCTATCAGCATTGTTATCAAGCTATTCAGAAAAAAAGCCTTCAGAGTGCAGAACTGTCTTTCTCCAGAAAGAACAAAGGGCTGTCCTTACAGCCCTGTGGGCGGGGCCCTGCAAGAGGGCTCCTTGCCGATCCACCCCCTTGTCCCCCAGCCGGCCATTACGGGGAAGCCTGGCTTTTGGCTGGCAGCAGGTGTCATCAGGGGATCCTCCCCGGGCGGCCTGTGTCCTTGTGGAGTGAGGAAGCCCGGGGCAGCCCAGTTGCCAACTAGAGGGTCCTCCCTCTTCCGTGAACGTCTGGGCCTCTGACCAGCTCGCCTTGCTCCTGTCTTGGCATCGGACGGAGATGCCACATACTTTCTGTCTTAAGCCATAATCCCATAGAAACTTTTTTAGTTTTTAGAGGTTTTCTGTGCCAAACTAGATATCTGTGGAAGGTCAGAGTTGTAGACAATATATACTTTTA